ACCAAAGACCTCTCAGAGCTTAGTGTAGCTTCATCCACCCACTGTCAGTGGCATTTCCTCAGCATCTCATTCCTTGTCTAGTTTTTCTCACAGCATTTGTTTTCAAGGGCCTACCTGAGGCAGTGAAAAGAGTTGAGTCTGCCGAAACTGGCAACATGGTGATAACTGGTCAGGTTTCTAGCTGCATGTCCTTAAGCAAGAATTTAAAAAGACCAGTGCTTTGTGGCTACTGGGTCGTGAGTGCACATGTCAAAAAACTTTCTTCATCACATCACAGAAAGTTTCTTGTGTCTCTACTACAGAGTTCAAGTTAATGCTGTCTGATTTAAATTCCAATCCAATTTGTGTGTGTTTGACTTTTTCTTTCCTTTGATTGCTTTATTCATCTTTGCATATCTCTGTAATAGCTCTGAGTCTCTAGAGAATCTTCCATTGGATATGGGGGCTGATGGGACTGCAGCATCTGGTGACTGAAGATGGAGATTCAGCTCCTTGTTCTGTTCTGGCCATGGATCAGAGAATGCAGCCCTGAGTGAAAGAACAGTCCAAGCTGAAGCTACAGTCAGGGACTAGAGGAATGAATCATCACTGGACATCTTGTTTGATGCTTGGGAGCTCTATTAGGGCTTTTCTGCATGGGTGAATGCAGTCAAACTCAGACTCTGAGCTAATCAGGTGCAAGATGCATCTGGTCTGTTAGTGCTGTGCCTGAGCTGTACTAGTTTACCTGCAACTGCAAGACACATGTCCTGGAGCTGCCTTGAGGAGTGTGGGGCTGCTGGGCTGCACCTGTGTGCTCAGACATGGCCAAAGACTCCCCGTGACACGGTTTTCTCATGTGTAAATAGGGAACAATAGAGCTCCTGCCTGTCTCAAAAATGCTCTTGGCAAACCCGTGAGGAAAGTGTCACTAGGTGGTGAGTTCTCACAAACATTCTGAAAAAACAGGAAGGCCTTTGTTATTATATTGATTGTGAAGAATCTCATTAGCTGTGTTCTCTGCTCTTGCTAGTAGCTTCTTGGAAAGTTTTTTCCAGACTCACTTTGCTGTGATTGGAAGCTGCTTTAATTTTCTTTTTCTATTAATAAAGTGAGATAAAATGAGAAATTTCTTCTTAAATCATAAAGCCCCCCAAAGAGGGGGGGGAGATTCTCTGTCTTCTGGTTTAGTTGCCTTTTTCCCTCTTGCAAAAAGTAATATAAGAAAGGCATTTTTTGATAAATAGTCCTTGTGGAGCAACCTGATGTTGGCTTCACTTGGAAACCTGGACCTGAAGAGACCAGTTTGAATTGCTGTAGCATGAACATAGCTTGCACAAGCATGTGGAGGCTGATGTGTTGAATTCAAGAGCTTCTTAGGTAGATGCTGGATGCTCTGAACTAAAACATTTCAGATTTTAAGCTGGGCTTCACTTCTGCTCAAAGTGCCAGTGGAAAGAGTGGACTGGGATCAGTGAAGGGAATCAGTGGGTGTGCTAGAGTCTGGCCCTTCTCTTCCCAGTTTCTGGGGAAGCAGGAGCTGTAGTTTTTGGATTTTTTTTTCTACTTCAGCCTGTGGGAGGCAGACAGTATTTCAGCAAGGAGTAAGCTGTGAGTAGTTGAGGTAGCCATGGAGCAGACTTCACAGCCTGAGGATTTAAGAGTAGAACTGAAGCAAGGGGTTGGGACTTTGCAAGGTGGATAAACACACCCAGACAGGTGACCATTGCTGGAAGAGGTGTCCTCTGCTCCCAGCTCCACTCCCCCTGCTTGCCTCATGCCTGATCTTGTGCCTGGTTGTCTTGTTGCCTCGCTGGGACAGTTTGCTCAGGCCTGGAGTGAGCGATCTGTGGGGCAGCAGAGCTGGTGTGGATGGAAGGAGTGAGTGGGAGAGTATCTTTGGAAGCAGTTGAACATTAGGTTGGCTGTGCCTTCTTGTGGAGCTTCACCCCAAGGAAAAGCTCTTTGTTCCCTGCCTGGCTCCCTGGACATCCATTCCTGGCTTCTGTAAGCTGTCACCACTGTGTGCTGGCAGCCCCTCCTCTCAAAGCCAGCTATCTCCACTGAGGTTATTATCTCATAAGAGCCATAAATGAGCTCTTAATTCTTTGACTTACATTCAGTGAAAAAAATTAACTAATTTATTCTATAAAATATGTAGTACTTGCAGTATTACATGTAAATGTGGCTATTGAAATTCTAACCTTTGCATTTCTAATTTTTTTGTGTTTCCCCCTCCTCCTCATACAACCTCAATACTTTACTAATAAACTGCATAAAAAGTATTACTCTAATACATTCAAATGCATATTTCTTGGACATAAAGCTACGTTTCAGTGAAATGCCAAGTACCACTTCTCCCAGGTAACTAACATCTTGCAAATTCAATATTTGTGCTCCTGAACATATGAAGAATTACCAAATGTGTCCATTTAGATATATTACCTTTTTTGGAATGAAAATCTGTAGGATTTCTCCTGTACTGTTTTTTCAAACTTCCTTTTTTTTTTTTTAAAGCAGATTATGAAAATATTTATGACATGCATGTCTGTCCAATGACTGTATTGCCTTAGTAGATGCATGATCTTGTTATATCTAAATGACTTAAATATTTTTGTGGCAGTGTTGTGTATTGTCTGGCTAATTTGCAGGAGAAAAAAGGAGATAATCTTGCTGCTTTTAGCAAAAAATTCAATAGAGGAGAGAGTAAGATCTAATATTAAGGCTTTTTTTTTTTAAGAAGATATTCTGCAGTAAATGTACCAGCACATTTTTGAGAATTGCCATACTTTCAGCTACTCTGCACATGTCTCAAACAAATGAACTCTTTTTTCATATTAGAAGCTTCATGTTTACTTAAGTAAGCAAAGTAGGGCTTTAAACTCACACTGTGGTGGCTGTGACAATACTTTGCTTAATGTAGAGTGATTGTGTGAATGAACAAGGTTTTGATCTTCTAATACAGTGACTTTTACTGTGGCTGACCAAATCTCACAAGAATTTCAGGGACATCTTGGCCACCATTCAAGCTCATGTGAGCCATTGCCCTTCCCACTCATGATCACATAACTGGCCTTTGGACAACCAGGATTTGCTTGCATACTTTGCTGATGTTAATTTTCCTTGCCCTGTTTTAAATTGTATTTTAAATGAATTTGGCAGCCACATGTAGGAGGTGGCATCATGTGTATTGTGAGGGCTCTGCAGTCTGTAAAACACAAATGGGGCCTGGGAGTGTGGACAGTCTTGCCTGGCTTTTCAGCGGAACTGGTGCTAGCACTGTGGCAGGAGTGAGGATGGCTGCCTGGCCGTCCCTTGTGTGCCCCAGGGCTGTTTAGGGTGCTCAGTTCTGGTGCCAGCAGTGTGCTCGCTGGAGGGAGGAGAGGGCAAAATCTGTTTTGTGGGGAAGGGGTTGCTGGAAGCAAAGTGAATTAAGAGGGCTGTAAAAAATTGATAAAGATAGATAGGACTGTCTGTTTTTATATTCTGCCACATAACATGGGTTTAAATGAATTTCCCTATAATTTGTCTTCAAATACCGACATTTAACTCTTAGGCTGTATAAATGAACTGGCTTTTGCTAGAGTAAAATTCATGCCCTGCGTCCAGGCTAATATGTTCACCTACTATAAACATTACTGCCTATGGTTACAACTGGAATAAAAAATTCCTTTTATATACATCATAGCTGGCAGAGACTCCTGAGACCACCACAAATCACTTCAGCCTTTTGGTGCTCTCTGACGAAATGAACTGAAATGTAAAACAGCTCCGGCTTCAGGCAGGCTGGCTCTGGAAAGCAATTAACTTGTTAAGACCATTGTTTGTACCCTCCATATTTCCAGGTGCTGAGCAAAGGTGTTATGAGAGCTCTCCTGATTGATTTCAGCATTGGGGTTTATTAACCTTCCATTCCTTCCTAAAATGTTTTGCTTATTCTCTCGGTAGCCTTTTATTTAAAGGGAAGAAAACCAACCAAACAACAACAAAAACGAAGCCCTGGCAAGGCCATCCCTCCTGCGAAAGAATAAGAAGAGAGGAGGGAGGGAGAGAGGGAAGGCAACAAAACCGAACCAAAAAAAAACCCCTTAGGGTCATAACAGGGAATAACAAAGCAGTGAGTTATTTATGCAGCCATGATTGGCAAAAGTGATTGCAACATGAATTTGCCCAGAAGCAATGATTAGATCATAAAAATGTTAAGGAAATCTGTAACTCAACACCGTTTTAAAGATTGAAGAAGTTTTTGTTCCCTACCTTAATTGCAGTGACTTGTTATTAAAGTATTTATTCAGAGTAATCTCTTTGGACAGCGAGCCCTTATCCCATCTGCATGCATAATTAAAAGTGAGGGGGGAGAGAGGGGAGCATAAATGGTTTACCATGCTACATGAGCAAGGGAGGGAATTACACAATGACAGGTGAAGAGCAGATTTATCTCCTGTTGGAATTTCAATGCTGCAAGCAAGGCAGGACACTGTTGCTAATATCCTTGCAAACACCACAGTTGCTGCTTCTCCAGATTACTGTCCAAAAATTATTGCTGGTCTGTAAAAGGCCTGTAGCACTGCATCTGTGGCTGTGGGGTTTTGAGCCATTGGCGCTCAAGCAAAGAGATTGGATTTGGGTATGTGGGCTTGTGAATCGATGTCTGTACTTAAAAATGGACTATTTACTTACTTGGCTGGCTATTTATTTATTTATAAATAAACATTGGTAATGGCTGGCTTTGCTGAATACGAGTAAGAGGGTTGTAGTTGTTCCAGCTGAAACAATGTCATCACCTGCTTCCTGCTGCTGTCTGTCCCTTTTCCAATGGTAAAAGAATTTGGTGCAATTCTTCTTTTTCCACTCTGAGTAAGGAAGGAGGTTGTACTTGAACATTCATCTCTAGGCAGATTTATCATCATTAGGTGCTACTCAAACACATGGTATCTGTTTTTAAATTGAACTGTTATGGATCTAAATCAGATTTACACAGAGTAAGTTGGTATATATTTGGCTATAACTGTTCGCTAAAGAGTGTTTTTCCCTTAACTTCTGATGTCTCACCTCTGCAGCAGCAGTACAGAGAATGCCAAGAACTTTTGAGCCTTTATCAGAAGTACCTAGCTGAGCAGCAAGAAAAACTATCACACTCCCTTTCTGAACTTAGTGCTGCCAAGGAAAAGGAGCAGAAGGTAAGCTCTTTATTTACCATTTCTTTTTTATTTAAATTACCAAGTCAAAACATCTTCTTGAGACTGTGAGTGTATTATCTTACATCTTATGGTGTTGAATACTATTTTGTGATTGGTTTCCCATGAGTCCTTGCCTTAATACATGGATTGCAGGAAAAGGAAGAGAAAAATCTTGACAAGTTTTGGGTCAGCAGAAGGGGTGAACTTAATTGACCATGCTGTAATGGGGTAGGAATCATGGTAACCCACACCTTTTCCAAGGAAAAAGTTAAGATGCTATTATGTTTTCTATTCTGTTATTTAAACAGGAAAATAATTGCAGTCACTGTAGATATAGCCTTTCACATTTTCACTGTGGCTTTTGATGATTGAAAAGGGCATTACAGATGATGTATTTGGTCAATAAGAGCTTTCTCAAGTCTGTAAAGCAGCTCGTCTGATTTGAGCTATTCATAGAAGATCTGTAGTTCTATATGCTGTTAAAACCAGAAAATGTTGACTAGAGATATGTGTTAAATTAAGTTCTAAAATGTTTCTTGTAGGTAGGCACCCAAAGCCCTGAGAACATGGTTGCTTGAGATATTCCCCTGGTAGCCAGGTGCTTGGTTTGTCCTGGCTGATGGCAGATTGTACCCTGGAAGAGAAGACTGCCCATGCAAGTGCTCTACTCTGGGTTCTTGCTTGCTGTTCTCTGGTAGCAGCTTCCATCTGCAGATAGACCTCCAGAATGCATCCTTCCTAAGACCATGCCTTTTTATAGAGGTTCTGCCCTTGATCCCCTCTTCTTCTGGAACAGTCTTAAAGGCTTATTTATAACAGGGCTAGAAATAAAGTCATCAGCACAGAGGAGGTCTCAGTGGTTACCTGCTGTGAGAATTATACAGGCAGATCCTGCTTCTCAGGAGACTGGAGACTGTGCATGAAGGAGTCTTTTAATTCTCTCAGGAAGCATGTAGCAATACTCTTTGACTTTGTTGGCATCAGGAATGGATTTTTATACTCTTTGACTTTGTTGGCATCAGGAATGGATTTTTTTTTTGTCATGATGATGTATTTTTTAGCTCTTTTTTTTGGTCCAGCGTTGTTGGACATTGAGCTGTTTGTCAGGCTTTTAACCTTTTATAAACATTTCATTTGCATTCTTTTGTGTTTATATCTGCCCTCCATTTTTGTGATGGCATTGAATTCAAAACAAGAATATTCTCCCAGAAAGGATGATGTCTATGTTGCTGTTTGTATGACATGCAGCTTGCTGGGGATCTCCATGGAAAATAGTCCAGAGGAGTCCATGTAGTCCAAAAGCACTGTGGTAGTTGTGTTTTGGGTGATGCCAATCCTTCTTTCAGATTTTGCCTTGAATGTTTCATTTCTAGCCTTTCAACTTCAAATACATTTATCCTATACTAGGTTAGCCCTCAGTATGGAGGGATCCAGTGTCATCACATCAACAGGGCAAAGGCATGGAAGCAGATAATAGGAAACCTTCAGCCCACTGACTATCAAATCATTTCAGCAATCTGTTCATCTCCTCTTGTTCTTCCGTCTTTCTAATCACTCTGTCAGTGTATACACAGAGACTTCTTTAAAATTGTTTTCTGATTTCATGTGCAAAGTTCTATCAAGCTAATCTTTGATTCCATTATTTCTTTTCTCTATGCTTACAGGTACTTTTGTCCACAAATGCAAATTCAGATATTATATCGAGGTTTGCCTTGACATTTCATTTATGGTTACATACTCTACAGCTCCAGCCTAGCAGGTCTGAAATTACCCTAGTCCTCTTGTTGTGTGCAAAGCAACGTAGGCATAGATAAAAACCTGTCAAAACATGCTTCAACTGTTTTTTCTTACAGCGTGCAAAGTGTTTCTGATGTTTCTAGCCTTCCTCTTCTATTTTCTCGTTCTTTGCATTTGGCTTTATAAATTGTTACCATTTTTCACCCAAACAAGCACTTTGTGCTGTGTTTCTCCTCACAGTTTAGAAACTGTGAAGAGTCGAGCAGTACTGCTGCACTCTGTCTGTCCTTTCCCTTGTGCACTCTTTCACAGGATGGCTTTCCAAACCCAAGAAGGGTCACTGGGCTGCTCTTGATGGGACTCGGTATTATTTTTGCACATCTTTTAATACCTGAACTGTGAACTCTTAGTGTCCTGATGGGTCTCTCTTTGAGTGTTTTTTGTTCTCTTTGAGTGTTGTCTTAACACAGTAGTTCAGGCCAGCATTGTTCTGTCTGCCTGATGGGGTCTGCTGAAGGGGAGCACAGCAGGGAGGGATTTTTGAGAGGATAGAATTGGAAGAGGACAGACCCAGAACACTCTCCTCCTGCTCCAGGTACTGCCCATGCCAGTTTCTTCTGCCCCACTGAAGCTTTTGTGCTCTTCCTTTCTGTTTTAAGGTGGGCTTTGACAAGAGTAATTTTGTTGAAATGTTAGGATAATGGAAGGCTTTGTGATTTTTTTTTTGAATCCAAATCCTTTTGAAATATTTTCCTTTTCACTTGATTTTCTCCAGGTTAAGGAAATCTTGGATATGTCTGGGTTTAAAGCAAGATAGCTAGTTTGTCACATAGTTTTCTCTTTGTAGAACTGTGTAGGAGACATAATCAGCATTTCCTATTACAGGACACTGCTGATCTTTCTGGGGTGTCTGTGTTTCGATGTACAATGTTCCAATTTTCCCATCTCGTGCAGAAACATTGGACTGTGCAGCTGTACTCCATAATGAAGCCCTTCTTTGTTCTGCCTGTTTTGAGCTGTTCTTTCTTGTTTCTGTTAATTTCCCTTTCTTTTTCTTACTTGTTAATTCGGAGTAATTTCTAGTGCTACACCTGTATCTTAACGCCTCCTGCTTCTGCTTTTCACCTGCCTGTCTCCCTCGTTCTTACCCTATCGTAATTTGGATCACGAGCTGTCACTTTCCCCTGGTTTAGATAGGTATTTGGAAACATCTCCTTTCAGAGTTTAAATGCTGGGTTTTCTGTCAGAATAAGACAATTAACAGGTCAAGAGAACAGCAGCTTGCCAAACATCGATGGCATTGTTGTAAAAAGAGGTGGAGTTCTACGGGATGTAAATGACTGCAGCAGCCGTGTGCATGTGGCTGAAATGCAGCCCTGGTTTGTAGATGTACTGAACTAATGCAGATGCTTTGGTGTTAACTTTTATTTTTGTCCATTTTACTATCACCAAATGATAGCAGTAACTCTGAAACCATGTTTTCCTCTTAGCTAATCTTGCCTCTTTATAATGACGGTCAGCCCTCAAAATGTAAAGAAGCATCCTGGTAGTAGTGAAATAAAATTGCTGGGAAGATGGTGGTAAGATGATTTAAGTCAGAGCTCTTGTGGAGTCAATAATCAGTAACTGGAACATGGAACTTCCTTTTTTTTTGTGAGATAAAGTTAATTCCATTTGAAAAGATACTTAAGGTGGCATGAATTGAATTATTCAAACTGGCCTTCTCAGCATTAACTCTAGGTTAATATCTCATGATGCCTCTGGTTTCATTATAGGAGTTTTAAGTACATAACTTTTTATAATAAATTCAATACCTAGAAGCCGAACTGAAATTGGTTTACCTTCTACCAACCCATAAAAAGAAGCATTAATTGTAAAGTGAATATTAAAGTGGTCACTAAAGTTGACTCAGATTCAGAGAGATAGCACTTTGGTAAAGGGAGAGCTCTACTGAAAAATAGGCTTCTGCCTTGCTGTTAATAGAAAATATCATTCATAGTAAAATGTAGTTAAACTTTTCCATCAAAAATCATTTTTTGGATATACTCTCTGCAGCACCCAAACATTCAGTCTTTGCCATTTTCATATGCTTTACACAGACATGTAAAGAAAATTGCCCTTATTCTAGGTAATCATGTCTGACCTAGTTTATATACTCACTACTTCACTGCCATCTTAAACAGTGTCCAGAATCCAGTTTGATTTGGCACATTTTGGATTATAATCCGTAGATGTTCTGCAGTGTAGGGTAAGATTTGAGGCGCAAGAGTTGGACAGGCAGCTGAGTTTCTGCAGAACTGGGGTTCTTGAGCTCTGTCACCTTAAGGAAAGATAATACCTGTAGTCTTAGCACTCTTTATTAATGTTAATCTTTGAATTTACAAGTACAGCTGGCAGCGTTTGTTTCTTATTCGTGGAAGATTACCAACACATCTGCTAATTCCCTTGGTTCACAAAGATTCTTGTGTGTGTGAGGCTTCAGTTCTTTCTTGTGTAGAAGAAGTCTGGGAGTGGAGTGGGATTACAGACTGAAAGGAATATCAAGAATTTATTTTCAATGGTGTATCATCTCCCCTCTCCCTCAGTGTTCTGATGTCTGCCCCCTCTTTGGGGTTTGCCAGTGGCCCTCATCAGGAATGAGGTTACTGTTCAATGCTAAGCACCATGCAAGCATCCTGAAAGACATGGTCTGCTTTGGGCCTATGGTAAAATCCTAACAAAGTTGACTTTCAGGAAGGCTTTTTCTAAAAAAAAAATTTTTTTATTATGTTGCTATTTCTCTTAAATCACTTCTTAAAAATTGTTGAATGTAGTTGTATCACTTCACAGTAAAATCCAAAAAAAGCCTTTATCTGCAAAAATGAATAAGCCTTGCTTTCTTTTGATATTGGCAATATTCTTGTCCTTTTAATATTCTTGTCCTTTTTTTTTTTTTGCCTTAATAAGGATGATTACATACTAAAGCTTCAAACATTACTTATTTGTTTTATTAATTTTTTCCTTTGAAAAAGATATTGAAACACACCAATTTTCAGAAGCCTTTCCTTTGTGATTGTCCCCAAACTTCCCCAGTTCCATTTTTTTCAGCATAGGTCACCTTTAAACACATTCTTAGCTTGCTTAAAGAAAAAAAAAAAATCCCATATATGCGAAGGGTTTTGAATGCTATAAGGTAAACCTTCATCATGGAATTGACTTTGTCTGTTTACCCAGCTGTATGGGAACAATGAATGAGCCCATCTGAAAGATACTTGAAAACTGGG